TTCGAGTCACTCAAGACATCTTTAATAAAGGCAGCCGCCGATATGACATGGACCTCGTTCGTGGTGAGATAGACGACTGGCCGCGCAGATTGAAGGCCTGTATTCAAAATTACGGAGGTCATTTTAAATAAGCTATAGTGTCATAAGAATCTATGTTTTGTTAAGTTCACTTTATTTTAAATATAAATGGTTACATAATGAATAAACTTGTTTCAATTATTTTACATTAAACATGTGATAGAATTTATGACATGACTAGGTAATATGCAATTTGGGTACAGATGATAAACCAGGGTCAGCTGGGTAGCTTTATATATCGATACGAATGACGTCGGTGAATATTTTGATTCATATGGACGGGCACCTGTACGAAATTGTAAAAGATGGAACTGGAATGTTGATAGGACTTCAGTTTGTGGCGAATATTGCTTAATGTATTTGCTATATAAGTTTCAGGGATGTTCAATGCATAGTTTTACGAGTATATTTACAGAGAACACATTGTACAACGATATGTTAGTGGATGAGATGTTTCGCTCCTATTTTATAGATAATAAGTAATAAGATTTTGTATTTTATAAATAAAAATTTTAACAAAATTAGGTAATGTGTTTAAAAGATGGAACTGGAATGTTGATAGGACTTCAGTTTTTGGCGAATATTGCTTAATGTATTTGGTATATAAGTTTCAGGGATGTTCAATGCATAGTTTTCCGAGTATATTTACAGAGAACACATTGTACAACGATATGTTAGTGGATGAGATGTTTCGCTCCTATTTTATAGATAATAAGTAATAAGATTTTGTATTTTATAAATAAAAATTTTAACAAAATTAGGTAATGTGTTTTATTGATGATTCAGATTAGTATTGTAGATAGGAACAAAGGAGTATAATACAATAGCATAAGCCGACCCACACGCTGACGAATAATAGATAATGACGGTAGTCAATCAACAATAGATAAGTAGATAAGGACAATGGAGCGCTAATGACGGTTGAGACTCGTAGCGGATATCAATGAGATAAGAGTTAATTGATCTGCTCATCTCCGGAACCGTGCATCCTACGCAAAAATGGACCGCAGATTCGTGATCAGAGCATACCAAAACCTTTAATTTTTTATTTATAGTATTGTGAGTCGACGAACGTCGTACTTGTACCACTTCTGACTCAGTGCGCCAGAACTGGTACAACCTAACTACTCGTTTGTAATATTTTTGGCGTGATCGTCTTAGTTAGGACCCTTATTTACGTTGTGTATGTTTAGTAACTTAGTTCTTTTAGGTGTCTTTTGGAAGAATGAATATTCACTAGAGCAACTGAAAGCTGTTGGTAGTGCTTTACAATCTAAGCGAACCCCGTTGACGAAGACAGGGCTCGAGAAAGGTTAAGAACATAAAATGTCCCTATTCCACTTGTTAACTTAATTTATTATTAATTATCCCTTCCCGCTGGAAAAATCTTACAATATATTTATACAAAATACCCGATACAAGGGCTTTGCTCTCCTACATTTATTTAAAAAAATGTAGGGGAGGTACATGCCGTGCGCGGTGGGCGCCAACCATTTTGATGCACTCCCCCCGAAGGGAACGCTAATTCGGGAACTGGACCGTATTCCACAGCAAAATAACTGGCGAACCAGTAAAAGAGGCTTGGCCCCTTGTTAATGCGTCAGCACAAACAACGACCGAAGTCGCGCATGTCAATGCGTGTAAACGCCATACCGAATACGAACGAATCCAGCCACAGTGAATGTACGTCACATGGTTTAGGCAAATAGGCACACTGGCCGTAAACCCCCCGTGATCGCCACCACCACACACACATCCTGCAGACGTGATGTAAGTGTATGGCATCACCACCAATTGCATGATCAGCACGGCTACTAGCCGCAGAGCGTGTCATGAGTCTACCGCTCACCTCAAGGGAATGGGGTCCCACGTTGTGCGGCTTTCAGCCGCAGCCTTGAGAGTCTCTTCAGATCCTTCCTCCAGCTACCACCCGCATGAGGTCGACACATATGCTCCACCAACCAATACAACGGCAAATATAGCCAAAAGGCAGTTATAAAATGTTAGTAATAATTTGCCATCAGAAAGGGTTTGTGTCACTGATGTTGAATAAATGCATTTTCGATCCAGGTTTTCTGACTCACCATCAAGTTTCCTTCAATCATTCAAAGGTGGGAAAGTTACAGAGATATACTATTATGTTGTTATATAAAACATCATGGAGGTCAGACAGTCTGCAGCCCCGTAATGAAAGGACCCGACTTGGGCAAAGCTACTTAGGTGTGAGTCAAACCAAGACACAGAGAGCGCCATTGAGAATAGCGTTCCACCAAACAACCATCGCAGAGACGCAATGCTGCAGAACGCAACAAGCATCAATACGACTAACGTCGGGCTTACACCATCCCAAGGTCCCCCATACATCTCATCAGATATAACCACCCGCATACCTTCATCGACCAGAACCACAAGAGTGCGTCGAATCAGGCGTAGGACACCCGCAGATCCATCACAAGACGCAATATCGCAAGTAGCAGTAAGCATCAATGCAACTATCATACGGATGGCGCTCCCTCGCAACACACCCATATGATCCCTATCGACTTTGGTGACAATATTTGTATTGTCGTTAACTAAAAAATAACACCAACGTATCATAGTAGCACGCCACTAAGACGCTAGTGAACAAAAATCCACGTATCATAGTGCTAATGCACTAAGACATTGAGTATGCCTGTTACACTTAAAAGTGCTACCAAGCACACTCATCCCAATCTGAAAGATAGACGACGCATCGCTATGCGCTACGACGCCGCCCACAAACGGTATGGGTGTGCGATGTCCACGGGAAAGCCGTATTGCTACAATAAACCCGCTTACCACTGGCACTAAGATGATATGTCTAGAACACATCGGTTAGCGATTCCAAGTTTACCTCGGACCAATTACTCGTGCAGCAGCATACACGCCACCATATTAATCCTTTTCAAGTCCCTTATATAGGACTAGTCATTTTGCTACAGTACTAAGAGCAGTCGGTCATCCGACCACACCATATAATACTTATGCATCAAGGAGACCTTCTATAATAATGCTTTTGTGTCATAGCCCTTACTATTATAGGTATGTCTTTAATATATAGGACTTCAACCCACGACTCTACTATTGTAATGCTAATTAAAATTAGAGACCTACTATAGTATTACTTTTGTATCATAGAGCTCACTATAATAAGTCATTAATATATGGGATTTCAACCCATAACTCTAGTCTCATAATGCTTATGCATCATGGAGACCTTACTATCATAAGTCCCTAATATAGGACTAGTCATTGTGCCACAGTACTTCAAGCAGTCGGGCACCCGACTACCCCATATATATGTACAACCTTGAGTATGCGTCTCCGACAGCTCCTCCATACAAACCATCTATACATGAACACTCTCCATAACTTAGTAAACCAATTTTCCAATCATCTTATAAATGTTATCTAAATATTTATAATATTTTCGACTTGTACTATTATTTATCATGTTTTAAATATTTTTATAAGTTTTTAATAAATTTATTTATTCTGAAATGTATTTATCTTAACTTTATGCTTATTAATGTAATTTTATTGTTTAATATATATCTTTTAAGGCTCCTTTTTTGATGCCCCCTCATATAGAAATTAATTATTAATTATTAATAATAATGATGAGCCGTCACAATATGCAGAAGAAAAAGCGTTGGTGATATTTAAGGCTAGCTGACCATATGCCAAGGCAAAATCATGAACAGATCTCCCCGCATGATCAGTTAAACGTGAACCAAGCCATTCGGCGTGACGGGCGTTAAAATCGCCGAGAATCACGATCTCTGCGGAGGGCATATAGCAACGCATCTGTAGCCATTTGGACGTGGTCGAAGAGTCAGTCTGTTTCGGCATTACCGCTATGGGACCTATAGAGGTACCCGTAAACGCGCGAATGGTCGTCGCTGTCTACGTGTAGCCAAAGGATCGCCAGGTTCGAATACCTTCAAGGCTCCCGAGGCGTCGAGGACAGATGTCCTCTCTGACGTAAACGCAAACTCCAGCCCGAGGTACAAAGGAGTGTTCCAGTTTGTACCCCGGTCAGGAGAGATACAAATCATCAGCCTTAGAGGACACCTACGTCTCAGACAGAAAGAGCAGAGGACGGAATTAAAAAGCTTCTGAAGGACTTCAAATATTTGTTTACCCCCCACTTTCAGAAGCTCCGCTGAAATTCCATACTCGCCCGTAGAGTTGCCGTTTTTAAGTGTTGCATATTACGCGATATATCGGAATAGAGTCGGATAAAACTTGTTCTTGGATCGTTACTCACGCTTGTGTGTGGCTTCAACAATGACTTGTACAGCTGCCCATAGAACCTCTCGATCTCACTCGAAATCTTAGACATCCCGGAAATGATACTGCCATATACACTTTGGTTAGTTTGGTTATGTAATAGTGGGTTAAGATACAAAAAAGTTGTGCCCAATAATTGCTAATTAAATGTGATGCGCATTGTTCGAAACGATAAAAAAATGTTCCGATGGTGGGTTTTACCATTTAGTTGGTTTGATATGTTGTCGTTATAAACTGTCTGCTGGGTCTAGCTGTCGGCAAATATCCCATAAATTTACAATGTAAGCGCATATTGTTGTGAAGAAGAAGAATTTAGTGAATAAAATACACATCAGGCAAGCCTGTATGATGATAGACTTTTGCCTGCTTCATTGACGCATCGTAACAACAACAAACAATCTACATACCATAGATAAGAGTGTACACAGAACACTATCTATTACTCCTCTATATACACAGTAATCTATGATTACTCCTACCGGAGAGAGTGTATATACGGAAATCATAGTTTTAATCCCAATTATAAAAGAAATATAATCTATGTAGAGTTATTTGTTCTCTTGTATAAAAATTCAGCAGTAAGGTTTATCACAAAAAATAGTTTTGTAATGGCTCCCAAAATAAGAAACGCTGTAGATGGTAAGAAATTTAACTGTAGTTTTATTTAGTTACAATCAATATATTTTAATCTATGTATATAAATCAAATAATCATGGACTTCTAAGCTACAACACACTTTAACATTTTTGATTCGCAGATACAGACTCTGGCTCTGATTCTGATAGTGGGTCTAGTGGGAGTCGTAGCAAAAGCCCTAGCCCGGCACCATCTGGTAAAGAAGGTAGTAAATCAAGGTATGGTAATATTTACTAAATTCAAATATAAAAGTTAGGATACTAAAATGCATTTTAATGTGAACACAATGAAGTTTAGGTGCATTTATTGCATCTCCTTTATCATATTATTCAGTTTTATTTTACAAGTAAAGAAAATACTTATCATATTGTGTAATTTCCATTTAAATGCAGGATGGGGTTGATAACCACCATGTGAATGAGTAGTGATAATAAACCTTGTGGGCATCATTTCATTATTTTGTTTCTGTGTCACCTGCAATTATCACTGTACCATCCTATGCGCTATGCGCCAAACGTACAGGCCTGTATGGAAGGTCGCCCGTGAAAATGATATATTTTCATCTAACCTAATTGTTAAATATTTTAAATAGGTAAAAAATTTAATTGTTTATAAATTAGTGCAATTCTACTTTTATAAATATTATCAATCTCATTTCAAAATTGTGCAAACAACGCACGAACGAATCGGCCAAGTCCCTTGAAATTGTATTTATTTCATTATTAAAAAGAAGAAATAAAGGTATTTCTTCTTTTAATTTATTAACATAGTTGAGTAATGTAATAATATAATGTTATATTTTCTGAAATAAATACAGTGGATTTTATTTATTACGACTTTGGTTGTAGCCACCATTTAACTATAGCGACGTTAAATCTAAGTCCCTTGAATTTAAAGCATACTTTAGTACAAAATTCATGTGGCTTAGCGATTTATGTAATGCGTTCGGGTATGCAACTGTTTTTAATGAATCATTTGTAACAAATTCTTAGAAATCCCATGCAGATATTGAGACCTGAGTCGGCCACCAAAGACACAAAGATTTCTTTTTTTCACAAACATTTCTTATCTTTTGTTTACATCTACACCGATGGTCAGCAAGTGTGGAGACCTTTACCTTTTGTTTATAGATATCAGCTAAGTGGGTAGGAGAGCATGTAGGTTTCGGAGTTAAATTTATGGTTCAGTTATGAAGTGATATTCTGAGTAGCAGTGAATAACTATGTGTGCAAATATTTTCAATAATAAATGAATATAAACTATACATGTGTACGTGTCTGTATCTCTTTACCTTTGCTTGTAATGACTTCAAGATATAAGGACGAAAATAGAGTGGTCCCTTCATCGTCCTTATACCCGAAATCCACTGTATTTTTAAAAAACTAATATAAAATAAAAAAATGAAGAGAAAGGTGTATCAAGATTGTGCCAAATGGATGTTCATAATTTCTGCTTACATACCCTAGTACACTGTTGCTAGAAGGCAGAAATTGGTAAGAGCTGCACACCACCTAGTGGTAGGTTTACTTTTATATAATATGGTAAATTTAAGTTTATATATATATATATATATATATATATATATATATATATATATATATATATATATTTACTACTATGGTATATTTTTTTTATAGGATAGTGTGACAAACGAGCACACAGTCCACCTGATGGTAAGTGGTTGCTGTGGCCCATAGACATCTACATCTATACTCAATTAACAATTCAAAATGCTGATGCATTGTCACCCGTGAGGACTTAGTAAAAACAGTCTCCAGTTCTCTACACTTACCATACGAAACACAGCAGCATTAAGTTACTATTTGACACTGGTATTCTCTGAGAGCATGGTTCTTTTTGGTCGTGCCGACCCATTCGTGCTACAACTATACTACTAATATAACTACAGCATGGCTCTACCACGTAAGAATAAACATTATATGATAGTCTATAATATAACATATTTTATATCAATTACCAATTTCAGGTCAGTGTCTCGCAGTCCACAGCGATCAGGAAGTGAATCTCCAAAGTCCAACAACTCTGTTCGCTCCAGAAAATCTTCTAATGCTTCCAATGCTTCTCGCAGTAAATCTAATTCTCCAGCAGGTTCAAATAGATCTCGGTCAGGTTCTCCTCAGAGCAATAAATCTGGTTCTTCAAGCCCTAAATCTCAAGCCTCAGGTAGCCCAAAAGAAAGAGCATCTAAGTCACGGTCTAGAAGTGGCTCACGCAGGTCTAGATCAGCATCAGGCAGTGCAAGATCTAGATCCGGCAGTGCTAATTCACATTCTCCTAGCCCTAAATCTGGGGCACAAAGCCCAAAATCACGTTCACAGAGTCCCAAGTCCAGATCACAAAGCCCAAAGTCGAGATCACAAAGTCCTAAATCTCGGTCACAGAGCCCAAAAACAAGATCACATTCATCAAAATCTGGATCAAATAGTCCAAAATCGCAGAGCGCTAAAAGTCGCTCAAGATCTGTTAGTGGTAGTCCAAAAAGTAGAAAGTCCAGATCAAGATCAGGAAGTGTGTCATCTAGATCCAAGAGTCCAGAAAAGGAGCAAGGTGGGGCAGATAGTAGGTCGAACTCACCGAATCTTATGATTGATGATGAGCAAGTTAAAGAAAAATCCAGGAGTAGATCTAGGTGAGTGTTTTTAAATTAATTTGGTTAAAATCCATAAATTAAAACCATTTCTTGTAAAGTTACAAGAAGAGTAGTCTACTACACGGCAAAAATTGGCATGTAGTAGCAGGAGTTGAGGTTTGCTCCCCTCTCCCCCTTCCCCTCCTGCCGGAGAGAGATAAATATTATTATTTTGGGGTTGGGTCTATGGGATTTTCTTTTGCATTTTTCCTAAAGAATGGTGTTTCGGTCGGTGAACGGTTTTCATGGGAGTGGTGTCGTGGTCCAGGGGAGACACCCCACTCCCCCCGCTCTCCATCCCCACTTCTGTCAAACAATTCATGTTTACCCATTTGTTTAACATTCAGTATATCTTTATTTTCAGATCGGGTTCAAGACATTCGAGATCGAGGTCTAAGAGCAAATCGAAATCTAAGAGTCGATCCAGATCACACTCGAAAAGCTCTAATGCATCTGAAGAAGAAGATGGCGGTAAGCAAAGAAAAGTTATTTTCTATTTTGTATAATAATGTTAACTACTTATAGTGGTGGAAGTAAGTATAGTTTCCAAATAAATCTTTTTATTGAAAAAGAATATCTATTATAAAACCCATTTTTGCGAATGCTGACGCACATTTTCTATTTGGAATCTAGATTAACCAAGAATTTCCTATCCTAGAACGAAACGAAGAAGTAAGGAATTCTAGATCAATCAATTTATTTCAAGAGTTCTTTATTTTAGTGCGAAACTTAACTATCCTACACTAAAATGCCATGAGGTCTATTTTCAGTTGTGGACTTTACTCTTATTATTTTCTACTATGCTAAAATCCATCCGTATTCAAGTTCTAAACCCTTTCGCCTGATAGAATTCTTTAATCTTTAACAGACCCTATATCAAACAATGTTTTTTTTCTTTAGGTGGTAAAAAGAAACGCGCCGTTTTATCTGATTCTGAAAGTGACGCCGGTAGCCAAACTGTTTCAAAACGTAAAAAAGAATCTGACAGCGGTTCTGATACAAGCGGCAAACCCAAAAAGAAACTCAAGAAGGTTATAGATTCAGATAACGAGAATCAAGAGGAAGGGGAAGGAGACGCAGGTATGTCACAAAATTAGATCTTCATATTATATACCAATTATTATAAGATATTAAGTTGCAGTTGAAAGCTTAGTTAGTTAGTTAGTATTTGTTCGACTAAAGGAAACAGCATCTAAGATGTCACAGACTATTTTCTAACTTAGAAAGGAAATCTATCAATTTGTACCTTACCTTCTACTTACTCTCTCTCTCTACGTACCTTCTACCGAACGCACTTAAGAACTCTTTTGGAGTTTGCATATGTGATATGGGGCCTGTATTTTCGTAAAGATATAATAATACTGGAAAATGTTCAAAGGAGGGCCACAAAAATGGTAAAACGACTGCAGAACATTATATATGAGCAGCGAGTGAGAAAGCTTAACCTCACAACACGAGTGCCGTAGGCAGAGAGGTAGTCTGATTGAAACATACAAAATACTGACAGGGTATTACAATGTTCCTACTCTGCCAAATTTGTACTTACTAAATAGCAACAAATGTCTGGGAGGACATCAACTTAAACTTTGCCATAGGACTGCCAAGCGGAATCCTATGAAGAATTTTATAACAAATCGTGTTGTCATCAAGTTGAATAAGCTACCACAAAATGTGATTGATGCTCCTACATTGATTGCTTTCAAGAACAGCCAATCTGTTCTTATAATCTAAAATAAATATATAGGATAAAATCTCCAAACATTAAGACGCACACGCATCAGCATTTTTAGCTGCTAGTGTGTTTATGTATAAATAATTCAATAAAATAAAATCTCTAAATATAAAAAATATCCCAGTGGTGTTCCCATATAAATTCCAACAATATTCGAGAATAAGCAAAGGGGGCTTGAAGATTTCATAATTTTATAAAATATACTTTAAGTACTTACTAATTACTTAATTGCCTTGTTGGTCTTGTGGTCATATGCGTGACAGCTGATCCTGTTCATGTGATCCCGGATTCGAATCCCGAGTCATGCTAAATTTTGTTTTGTGGTTTTTGTGTCAAGAAATTCTCAGTAGCGGCCCAGAGTTCAGTAAGTTGGTAGTGTTTCAGAAATCGTTTGGTCTGTGTTTCAACATAAGGGTTAGGGGATTGGAGAGGTCACCAGCGCGTTGAGCACACACTCTCGTGTACTTTGATTAAACCTGCCGTGCGCAGATGGTTAGCCTTTCTTGTGACTGGCTGTCATGATCAAAAATTCGGTTTGCAGGACATTATTTATTATTTTTTTAGTGACAGCGGATGCACTGTTCGGAGATGCATCAGATATTAGTACGGAAGATGAAGGCGAAGGCAAAAAGTCAGGCAGATCCAGATCTGGATCAAGGTCGAGAAGTCGTAGTGCAGCTAGGTCCGACGATGAACGACGTTCTGGTGATGAAGCGAGGGCTAGTGGTGACGAGGTAACTAACATTTATTTTTAATTTTCTGGCATTGTTATTTGTGTGTAAATAGTATTTACTGTGTAAATTATTTTACCCAAAAAGGAAAACCGTGAAAAACCTGAAGAGGAAGAAGAGCAAGAGATCCCTGAGACCCGTATCGATGTCGACATGCCGAAGATTTGGACAGAATTGGGCAAAGAGCTACATTTCGTTAAGTTGCCTAACTTCTTGTCAGTTGAAACTAGACCTTATGATCCCAATACTTATGAAGATGAGATTGATGAGGAAGAAACTTTGGATGAGGAAGGTCGAGCAAGGTACATAAGTATAAAATACATATTTAAAAAAATACTTGTGATGACGACATAGTACCCCATTTCGATCAGTGGGTGTTGTTAGAGGTGAGCATGGCATATTATGCCAAAATGATCTTTGGAATTATAATAAACTATCCATCTCATTAGCGCGAGGTGTAAAATATCTAGAACATCCGTGTGAACCGTCTGGTACTACGATCAACACATCTACATAGTGATGGTTAAGGCAAAGGTGCTCCCTGCAATGGGAGAAGTCCTTGTTCACCATCTTCTGTTTCTTCTTTTTTCTGATCTTTGATGGACTGATGACGATCAAGAAATCGCTTTTAAGCGTCTGGTACTGTGATCGCTTATCCTTCTGTCAAGCATGCAATCAAGGCAAACTTCTCCCTAATAACATACTAAACAGTGGATTTTTTTACCATCCCATTAAAGTCCATCGATGGACAGAGACCTATTGTCAAGTCCCAGTATCCAGTGGAATATAATTTTTAACAATCTTGAAAAAAGTATAGATGTAAATACTTAATATTGTTGTTATTTTATAATATTCTAGATTAAAGTTAAAAGTGGAGAATACGATACGGTGGCGCACCGTATTCGACAAGGAAGGCAACGCACTAAAGGAGTCAAACGCACGCATGGTTAAGTGGTCTGATGGCAGTATGTCGCTGCATCTTGGGTCTGAGATATTCGACGTTTACAAACAACCGTTACATGTAAGTAGGCGATCATATTTTTAATTCCATTTTTAAGGGATCATCGTCATCCATCATATTCAAGTATATTGTTAAAGCCAGCCCTTTGTCACTTGCAAGTTGCAACTCCCTCCAAGTTTGTTTCTGTATTTGCAATTTGTATTATGTAAAATACAAAAAAAAAAAAATCATATTAGTTGTACTTCCAACTGTTGTCAAATGGTAAAACAACCTTGTTTCTAGTTATGAGGTAGATATTTGTACCTATTGATAGTAATCATAAGTCATTATATTTATGTTAAACATTTGCCGCCAACTGTGCCATAAAATGGCGAAACAAGACGCCTCATGTTGCACATTGCATGACGCACCTCTGTCGTGTCGACGTGTATTATGAAAAAGTAAAGAATGCAAAATAAAAAGAAAACTTCTTAATAATTACATTTATTGTAAGTCAAAAATACGTACATAGACTAAATAAAAGGAATAAAAGTCTAAAAGTGACACATCGCACGCGCCTGTCCCTAGCGCTCTGATAATTTATGGTACCGCGGGCAGCGAATGTTTAACATTAGTATAGTAATCAATAAGCCACTAGGCAGGGCTCGCTTTAAGCCAATAGTGGAACCCAATCTTCAAAAAGGTGGTTCCAGTGACTAGAAACTAACCTCTTATATAATTGTACCCATAAAAGGTAGTATAGTTTCAGTTTGAATATATTGCCTTTGTGATGATGGTATAAGGCCCATAATATTTTACAATACTGGGCAGAGGCTTCTCTCATTTCTGAGATAGTTATTGAAACAGGGAAGATTTCACCACTCTGCTGCTGGTTTAAATTTTTCTGCACATGGTTTAAATTTTTTTTCTTGGATTTGCATGTTATGTCTTTTACTATTGAGCATTTGCTTAGTCAGTTTTATTCATACTGAATTGATCTAATCAAATCTGATTGGACACTGGTTGATCGCATTTTAAATTTGTACTTCAATGTAAAAAAGAAATATAATGTGGAATAAAACAAATTTTACCCATTTTATCGCATTTAATTTTAACTTGTTTAATTCCTACTAAATCCGTAATCTACTACAATTTACTACAGCTGGTTGTGAAGCGTTTCTTGCTAATTTCACATTTTAATTTATGTTTCCAGGGAGACCACAATCATCTCTTCGTTCGGCAAGGAACAGGTCTGCAAGGGCAAGCTGTGTTCCGTACCAAGTTGTCCTTCCGACCACATTCTACTGAATCATTCACACACAGAAAGATGACTCTATCGTTGGCAGACCGTTCCACCAAGACTTCAGCTATTAAAATCCTGTCGCAAGTGGGTGCTGATCCTGATGCCGATAGAAAGTATCAGTTGAAGGTAAGCAGGAATCACCACCATACAATCTATCTAAAATCACCATATAAATGTTAAAAATCTTTTATGTTTTAAATAAATACACTCGGCGTCAAAAAAATCGCACATCCGAAAAAAATAATTTAAATACTATTTTAACACAACAGGCCAATGGCAATGTTGTGGTTTGAGGGTATCATTCGAAAGGTAATTTCATTAGCTTTCAGGAATTTTAATTGAATTTTACTTTTATAACGAGACGAAAGAGAAATTAAAGAAAAAGACAGGGTATGTACAAATTTGCAAATTAATAATTTAAAAAAAATAATAAATACAAAAAAAGTTCTTAAAACCTAGTGTTACCCCCCCTTGCCTTGATAACGGCTTCCATGCGATCTTTCATGGACCTTACAAGGGTCGCAACAGCCTCTTGGGGTATTTGTTCCCACTCTTCAAGTACCGCATCTTGGAGCTCTTGAAGAGTGGTTGGAGCTAGATCTCGAGCTCGCACGCGCCGTTTTAGGTCATCCCAGAGATGTTCTATTGGGTTAAGGTCTGCACTTCGTGCTGGCCAATGCATAACAGGGATATCGACCTCCTGTAAATAATCCCGTACAATAGCCGTGGTTTGGCAACAAGCATTATCATGCATTAACATGAATCCATCACCGACATAACCAGCATACGGGACCACATGTTCCTCCAGGATTTCAGTAATGTACCGACCAGCATTTAATGACCACCCCGAGTCCGGGAAACGCACACAAGTTCCGTTTTCCCGTCGACGGAAATGCCGCCACAAAACATACACGAGCCACCCCCGTATTCGACGGATTCTTCGAAGCAGGGTTGTGTGAACCTCTCACCCTGTCTTCTGTAGACCCTTCTACGTCTGTCATTCCAGAAGAGACAGACCCTCGTCTCATCAGAGAAGAGTACGGTCTCCACTGTTCTAGAGTCCACTCGCGGTAAACTCTAGGCGATCTCTGCGATGCTGTGCAGTAAGTTTTGGACCTTTAGCAGGTCTATGGGCTGTTATACTCTTTTCGTGTAACCTTCTTCTTATCGTAGAAACACTCACAGATGTTCTCCGAGTTGATCGAAGCTGTTGTTGCAACTCAACAGCATTTGTAAAACGGTTTCGTAAAGATGTCGTAACGATGAAACGGTCATCTCTTTCTGACGTGCACCGTTTTCTTCCAGATCCCGGTTTTCTAACATAACAACCAGTCTGCTGAAAACGTTGGAACACCCGTCGAACTGAAAAACGGGACAATCACTTGAGCGGCTTCTACAGAGCTGGTGTCTATCTTTACTTGTTCTTATTTGGGTTACTTGTTCACGTGTGTTCACTGCAGTCTAAATTACGACTGACCCATATTTCATTTTTTTTTGCGCCCGAAGCAATTAAAGGGCTACCCTATACATAGGGAGGCGGAAAATGCATTACGCATACCACGATAGCCGGTCTATCGTGGTTATGAGGGACTCACATCCTACCGGGGAACCTAAGTGATACCTTCTAAAAACCGCCTTTATGGACAGGCAACTGGCTGATTAAGCTTTATTGTGCCTTATGGTGAGCGACCTTTTTTTGGGAAAAGAGGGCGCAGGCGGCTACGAGCCGCTGAGGGAGTGCCTATGATGGCAAATTAATTATGAATAAATAATTTAATTTAATTAGAGTTGGCCTGAGCCGCCAGGAGGCAGTTCAGGTCGTTTGATAGTTTATTAGGCGGGTCCGAGTGAGAGTTTCTCGGCCTGCGGACTCGATAGCGAAGGGGGGTGGGGCTGCATAAGTAGCTGCCTCACGAATTAAATGGTTTGAGTGCGACTCTGAGGCTTTGAAGAAGTTCTCAGAGAGTTTTTTGAGAAATTGTTGAATTGTGGGGAGCTCTAGGTCCCGATGAAGGTCGGCATTACGGACGTACCAAGGTGCGTTCGCAGCTCGACGACAGAAAAGGTTTTGAACTATTTAGAGTTCATTAATAATTTTAGGGTCGGCGTGGGCAAAAATGGGGCCCGCGTAGGACATGACTGGTCGTATGCAGACCTTATAACACCTACGTAGGCGGTCCCATAATGAATTGGCCTAACTATGAACCAATAAAGGAAATGAAACGAAACCAATTTTATTTTTCAATATAATCACCATGAATACTAACACACTTCTGACATCTGTGAATCAACATCTCTAAACCTTTATAAAAATAATCACATTTTTTATCCTCAAAATGACTGAAGACGGCCGCCTGCAACTCTTCATCGCTTGAAAATTTTCTTCCTCTTAAGTCCCGCTTTAAATTTGGAAATAAATAATAGTCGGACGGGGCCATGTCTGGACTGTAAGGTGGATGTTGAACTTCTGTGAACCCGCATTGACGAACTGCATCCTTAGAAACACCAGCGGTATGAACAGGGGCGTTGTCATGGAGCAACAGGACACCTTTAGACAGCTTGCCTCTTCGTTTTTCCTTTATCTTGTCTCGTAATTTATATATTAAAGAATCATAATATTCGCCGTTCACGATTGTATTACGTTCTTTAAAATCCACCATCAAAATGCCTTGAAAATCCCAAAATATTGTGCACATCAGTTTTTTAATCGATTGTTGCACCTTTTCACCCTTATAACGCCATTCCATTGACTCGCGCTTGCTTTGTGGATCATAATACAAGATCATAGTTTCATCACCAGTCACTAGCCGCTCGATCACAGTCTTTGGATTTTCGCCACAAAGATCCAAAAACTCCGAAGCGCAGCGCACTCTTTCCTGTCTCTGTACCGTTGAAAGAAGTTTCGGTACCCATCTTGCACTCACTTTTTTCATGTGAAGATGTTCATGGATCGCGCGATGAACGGTACTCTTAGAGAGCCCAAGCCTTGCTGCAATGTCTCTAATCTTCAAACGGCGGTCACTCAGAACCTCCTCTTCGATAAGAGCAATCGTTTCGGGAGTGAGCACTTCCACAGGTCGACCGTCGTGGCCAAAGTCTTCGACGGTTTCTCTCCCGAGGCGAAACTCTTTCACCCAATTTTTCATTGTGCTATAGGAGGGGGCAGACTCCTTATACACGCCATCCAATCGTTCTTTTATTTGGGCAGGGGATAAACCTTCTTTAAACAGAAACTTTATGACACTTCGATACTCAGTTTTCGACATTTTGAAAAAATACGCGACTCTCGTTATTCAAATGCCTGTTAAACTAAGACTAAGCATTTCATGTCGATGCATGTTTTCTATATTAAGTGCACGATAAACGTACTATTTAATGCAACACAACATGTAGCGACATGTCGCGTTGAACTATATCAGGCCAGTTCATTATGGGACCGCCTGGTAAATATTTGGCGGTCGTATGCCAGGGGACAGGGGTCCCTAGCATACGTATTGGTGGAGTGTTTTTGAGACGGCGTCGTTTATAATCGAAGTGAACGGCGGAGCTCTTCTCCGGGTTCACATCGATGCGCCATTTTTTGAACCAAGCTCCTAGGTCGTCAACTGACTTTTGAACCTTGTTCCTTATGAAAGGTAGCGAGATACCTTTGCAGTAGATAGCAGTGTCGTCTGCGAAGAGGGAGAGCTGAAAGGTTCGGAGGCTGTAGGGGTGAGTTCCGGCGGCGGACCTCATCCTCCACTGCCTGGACGTGTGAGGGGTCGACGGGTTGAGAGCTAGGAGAGCATTGTGCGGCAATGCTATCTGCAAAGCACTCAGCCTTTTCCTCGTCCTCGAAGGCAACCGTACCGTCGGGACGGGAGAGAGGGGGAGTGTGGGTAATAGCGTCTATGCGGAGGGCTCTAGCCATCTGATAGTATCCTGTATGAGATGGAGAGATATTCTCCATGAGTTTACCCTTTTCGAGGTCTCGAAATTCAGAGAGGCGGAAACGGAGTTCTCGTTGAATACGATTGGCCGTGCGCCTATATTCGGGGGTGGGATACTTTGCTGCTCTCCAGAAAGCAGCTTTTTTGGCTTTTAATAGGTTGCTAATATGTAGGGGAAGCCCACTATTGTTAGCAACCGGGACGACCCTTTCGTTCTCCTTATTCGGATTTAATAAGGGTGGAGAGTGAATCGACCGCGGTGTCGATTTTTTCGGGACTGTCTAAGTCCGACGGTAGGGAGATGGTAGAGTCCTGTGAGTCCAGAGCTTTAGCTAGGGACTCCTTGAATCCCTTCCAATTAGTGAAGGTTTTCGTGTGTGTTGGGGGAGGTGGCTGATGGCCAAGAATGAGGGAGACCGGTCGGTGATCGGATCCTAGATCGTCTAGTGTCTCGATTGCTCTGAGGTTGAGAGAAACTCCTAGGAGTAACGCAAAATCTAGTACATCGGGGGCGTGATCGGTATTATCGGGAAAGTGAGTAACACCGAGGGGACTATGGACGGTAATATCAAGAGACTGCGTGATATCGAGCAGTATCTTGCCACTAGGGGACGTAGTACGGCATGTCCATTCAGTATGCTTGGAGTTAAAATCTCCAAACATAATGACTGAATTGCCTAAAGATAAAATAGCCTCAAAATCTTTTTTGAGGGGGTGGGTTCCTGAAGGGATGTAACAGGAGGCTATGAGGATGGACTGATGTCCAGTCATAGCTAACCTGCATACCGTGGCTTTCATGTTGGTAAGCTTCGGAGTAGAAATGGGCGAGCAGTGAAGTGTCTTCTTGTAATAGATGGCCGTTCCGCCGCCTCGGCGGTCGGGTCTATCATTACGAAGAAGAGAGAAGTTTTTAATAGAAAGGCCTTTAGTGTCCTTAGTTTTGAGATTAGTTTCTTGTAGGAGGAGGAAATCGGCTTTACGATTCCGAAGAAAGAGCTTAAGCTCTGGGAGGTTATTTAGCAAACCGCGAATATTAAAGGAGGATACAAGCGATAAACCCTTAGGTTTGATACGACCGTGAGACTTTGGTAGAGTAAACTGCTCTGTCATTGATGTTAAGTTAATTAAGTTAGCTTAACTTACAACGAGCACAAAAGATTATGATGCTCTGTAAGAGCGAGGAGATGGTCCGGAGGG